GAGGTGTCTGGTGCGCCGACAATAGGGAGCATCGAAGATCAAAATTGAGCGGAGAAGATTCCGGATGTAGAATGCACAGGAATTGTCAGTACTTTTTATAGATTTCCGCCGACGGGGAATTCGGACACGCTAACTGCCTGAAGTAGCTCTACCTCGATGGCACGGCTGTTCCCAGACACCGTTGCCCGGGCACTTCCTCTCCGCTTCGACTCGACTGCCCTTAATCCATGCTGGCTCCGTGATCCGATCCGCTGCGTAGCTTTATCAAGCGCGAATGTCGCGAGGCCAAGCGAATTAAATAACCGACTGAGATGTGTAACGTAGATAGAGAGGCGGTGAGTTTTTGCTGGCCGAGCGGCAGAGTCGCTCCTCTAAGAAGGAATTGCACAGCCAATGAGCAAAAAAGAAGATTGTCGCTCGGCTGCATCGAATGCTTAGCATTTTGCCTTTTGCCTCCCAATGAGAATGGCCAATGAAAAGAGTCCGCGGCTCGTGGGCAGCGTTCGCATGCACGCTACGCCGTAATGCGTCCTGCACGCGATGGATCCACGCTCTCTTATACTTCTCATACTTCTCACAGCTCGCTTTCCTCGTCCCACTTGCAGCGCGAAGCCACGAAGCGACACTTTTTCCCGCGAACTGCCAGCCGGGCGCGTGCTGCGTCCAGCAACCTGCCCTACCTGACCAGCAACGCGGTTGGCCTTGCTGAGGTGGCGCGGGGTAGGAAGAGGAAGATCAACTTGTGGGAGGATCGTGTAGGACGCGAAAGTTTAACCCAGTTTTATTCCCGCGGGGTTGTCGGAGCGTTTACACGTTCACGTGTCTCCTGTTTCAGCTGCCCCTCCCCCTGATTCTCACTCATCGCCGACTGGTGCGAGCTACTCGCAGTGGCTGCTGCCAGTCGCCTAGACTCTTCACGTTCTGTCATTTGTTTTTACTTGCCGAAGCAAATCCAGTCCAGTTGAAATGAAAACTCAACTTGCAAAAAGAGTGCAATTTGTACGCTCAAGAACGAGGATTTACGAGGGTCGATTAATCCAGTGGTCCATCGTGCTTGGCTTAATCAGGCAACATCCAGAGGAGTGTTCCACGAGATTCAGCACGACCTTAATCCTCCTCCAGCGGCATTATGCTCTTACTGGCGTTCCTCCAAAGTAAATACTCAAGTATCTACAAAGATGCTGACGCACTCCGATGGGAAGACCCATCGAGCGGTACCTAAGATAATGACTGTACCAGAAGTAAATGCAGAGAATGAGGGTGTAGCTGGCAGCTCCCAGCTATGCGTATTTAGCCAACGAATGAGTGTCCATTTCAGCATTTGATGAACTCAGTGGGAGAGAGAGAGAGAGAGAGAGAGAGAGAGAGAAAGAAGAGAGTGGGAATGGAAGGGGCGCCAAGGGATCTTACGCGTTTACCTCTAACGAGCGCACTAATTGACTCGAACGAAACGCCCTCCCGTCATCATCCTCGCTGCCTGATTCTCCTCAGCGATTCTGCCAGATTTCGCAAATTAAGTACGAGCCAGTTAAGTACGACGACTCCTCCAGCTCGGAATCCCCGTTTCCAAAGAGCCCGCGCCTCCCTGCCGCTTTCCGTGGGCGCCCAGCCCCCTAAGCAACCAGCTCGCAGTCACCTAGGCAGCCCCCTCGGTTGCTTTTTCGATTTTGTCTCCTTCGAGGAAGCTGCTGCCGGTATCCCCTTTCACTTTAGACTCTCTTTGCATTTGTAACCGGATACTCTGCCTAAGGCTTGACAATAGTAACAGAATGCCACGGGGTGCGCCCTAAGGTCAGCATTCTTCTCAAAATTCACAAAACAAAGGAGATGCGTACAACCAAAAAAAAAATTTACTTTCGAGCGATTATCGAGTTGACGCTAATGCCTGAATTATTAGGGGACCAATCGATAAAAGATTCAACGAGGCTTCGATTGGTCACAAATGTCTTCGCCGTATTATGATGCGTCTGAACCTGGATCGCAGCATCGCGCGCTGAGCGCCCTGTGTCAGTAAGAATTAAAGAGTAACGGGCCGGAGGGGGGCTGAACCTGCCCTTCCCCGCTCCCCCCCTCTCATCCCCCTACACGCATAGCACTTGGCAAGAAAGCAGCGATTTCCTGATGTTCCAGCGACGTCGTCGCCGCTCGTTAAAAGTTGCTACAAATCGCGCTTCTCTTATTCTTAGCTACTTCGCATTGACCGCAAAACGCATCGCGAGCCGCCCCTGTCCTTTCGGTTTCTACCTTCCTATTCACTTGGCCTTCGATTCGCTCTCCTGAATGTCGGGGGAAGAAGGTAAGGAGCAGGCACACCCCCTTAACAATCCTTCCAATCAAACTTTTCCAATTTGTGGAATTCTCAGAGCAAAGATTTATTGGGAAGTCAAAGACGTCCCGAAGAACGAGTGAGAGCTCAGAAAAACTTGAGCAAAAAGGCAGATCTTCTTCCCAGCATCCCATTACCTTTCCTTCTTATATGAATATGAGAATGGGACCAGTGAATAAAGCAATATAGAGGATGGACCAATCGACCACGATGAATCGAGGGAGCGAGTAGAGAGCAAGGAAGAAGAGAAGGAAGGAAACGAAAGAGAAGACTCACTGCCCGAGGAGCACATCCTGCGGACCCACATAATCCAACCGCTTGTAGTAGCCAAAGGGTGGCGGGTCGGCGGGTCGGCGGGTCGGCGGGCCTGGTTGACTGTAGAACGAAAAAGACGCTACGAGACCGAATTAACCAAGATGAAATTTTGGGAGTCCCTGCTTCATCCTATAGTAATACTAGACTAGTGGCGGCACCTTCGAACAAAAGCCAGTTGTGGACGTTATGAGAAATGAAAATCTACCTGGAATTAAAATCTACCACGTCAAAAATCGCGCCACCGCGAACGAGCGCGAACCCTCGAAATTCAATAAAACGGAGGCAAACGGCACCGGCGACATTTGCACCGTTCGAACCTGCGTCCGGCCTCGCGCTTCCGCACTCTGCCCAGCCTCCCATAATTGGTCCTGCATCGGGCCATGCTGGTGGGCGCCACTGCCTACGAGTCGCCAATGAATTTCTGCAAATCGGTGTTATCGCTCGCCCGATGGCGCGTTACTCTCCCGGTCCCTTGTCGACTCCAGCACCGATCGAGATAACCCTGTAGCCTCCGATGCCTCTCTTGGCACGCTTTTACAACATCGAAGCTCAGCGCCGCTGGTCGCCGCTGGTCGTCGCTCCACATCGCTCCACATCGCTCCACGAGCATTCGCCTTCGTAACACGTAATTTCTTCATTTTCCGAACCTGAACTTTATCTCAGTTTTCCTCCTCTATCTCCAGTCCTACGTGATATTTATCTCTTTTCTCGCACATCTCCTTAACGATGGAGGGACGCGTTGGAGGGACCTTGAAAAGAATCTGTATCTGCTTGACAAATATTTGTGCGACGTCCCGAAAACAAACTTCGCTCGGCGGTCTAGACGCCTGGATTAGATATATAAGTGGCGGAGAAGTGGAGAAAAGTAAAGCGGGCTGCTTCGAGCTGCGATAATAGACGATAAGCAAACGTGAGGCTGGTCCATCCTTCAGGATTAAGGCTGCTCCCCATATGTGGGATGCGAGGATTCCTTTGTACGAACCTCAATCGCTCGACACTCCTGGTCAATGAGGCACGATGCTCGTTCTAGATGCAAAACTGAATGACCCTAATTTTCATGGGAGAATCCTCGTGTAAAGCAACTTCGCAGTCGGTGTCCAGGACGACGTCGCCTTGGGCACGGCGGTGAGGATGGAAAAAAAAAAAGAAAAAAAAGATTGAACGTCAGTAGTGTAGGCAAGCGTTTAATCCGACACGACGGAGACTCGCTGGTGCTACGCGAGAGGCTTCTCCATTCAAATCAATACGGCACACGCACCCTGCACTCCCGCATTACGTGACATTGCATTACACCGAACGCGGTGCACTCGGTGCACTCGGTGCACTCGGTGCACTCGGTGCACTCGACGTCAAACTAGCATCCACCGTCCTCAGTGCCAGCCCCGCCGTTTCCCACCGCCACGTTCCCCGTCAACCAGCCAAATAGAATGGGTAGTCGAGAGACTTCGAATCGCCCGGAGATTAGTCACATCCGGTTTCCAGGCGGATTCTCATTCAAAATCGAAACTCCCGCAAGACACCGCAATGTCCGGTGACCTGAGATGGTGTCGCCATATTTTTGGAAAAAAAGGAGCACCTCCACGGGGCGACAGGAAGTCACTCGATTTCCCACAGTCTCTCTATGTTAGTACATGCTAAATGTTCCCTCGGATCCTCTTGCTGCGTTTCAAGTTATTCGTGCATGAGAAAAAGTGAACGAGATAAGAAGCGAGCAAACCAGCTGATGTAGATAGCGGCTTCGAGTGAACCGTTCAGAATTGGATGCCCTTGACACGGCGCCAGCAGCATCCGACGGCATTTCTCTTATCGAGAGAGAGCAACAACGTTACGAAGATAAAGGACGAACCTCGAAAGAAGCCATCGAGGACAACTGCACTGTCCAGATCATCGAATAGCAGCAGTCTGGCACCCCTGGCACACCTGGGGGACACCTGGGACACCTGGCAAAAGGCGAAGCTGTAGAAGGCAGTGGCCGAAATACCTACTGATTTGCCAAAGGGGTGACAACCTCCGGGGCTGGTGAATGGGT